ATATATAAAGTCATCTGTTTAAAATTGGAGTTCTTACTTTATAAAAATCAGATGTCATATAAATATTGAATCAAAAGAAATGAATTTGTATTCAATAAACATTTTTACTATCTTTTTTTTTTTACTTGGTAATACATGTATATAAATACGTAGCTGTGGTACATGTCTTCAACTGATAAACTGACAATGACACAATAAGATTTTATAGGTTAAATATTTTAAATACAACATATCTAAATAGGTGAAAACACTTACTATTCATATGACTGAGTAGTTGGGAGTTAGTAAAATTGTATATCTCTCACGTATCAACCATTTACAGAGGGTTGGAGGAAATTCGGATTAGGAAAAAAGACGATCGTTTTAGGGAATTTCACAAATCCTGTAGTACTTTAAATGGAAAAGATGAAGGATATTTACGAACAATAGGACCATACTGCTGTGATTTATTTCATTTTTCTGTAGTTTTAAATCAAAAACCTGCATGAAATATCTGTTTTTCAGCAGATTTTCAGTAAGGTGACTGGGAATGAATTCGGCCCCCTGCAGAATTTTTATTCGCCACGTGGGCGAGCAACTTACAAATTTTATGAGCCCACACCAATTTTTACTCGCAATTTGCGAGTGGGCGAGCGTTAAGTTTAAACCCTGTTGTGTTAGACCTTGCCAAATGCCTATCATATCAAACACTATCAAATTAGTCTTCACAACTTAATTTATACCTAATTAATTTTGAAAATAAAAGACTGGTTATCAAATATAAACTGACCAACAGTTCTTCTGCCTAACTCCCAAAGGATACAGATAAGACCATTCTATGAAGAAATGAAAGAGCCATGCAGCTAGCCTTCCTACATTGAACACATTAATTAATCTTTAACTGGATGCTTTTCTACTCATTACTCCCAAAAGATTGTTGGATCTCCACTATCTACCATAAAACATTTTCAAAACTTATAAAACATCAATGATTTTTTTTTAGATATAATGTCACACAGTTTTCAATATGAAATTCATATGGACATGCTGATTTCACCCCCACCCCCATAAAATTAGTTTTTAAGTTCATAATACTATGTAATATCAAAATAGTTTAATAGGCAATATCAAATTAGTTTTCATTACTTGTCATAAAATTCATTTTAAAACTTGGGCTAGCCAACAAGTTATTTTTAATCCAACAGGCTTACCCATTTGGCCCAATACTCAAGGAATATAGATAGCACCGATGCTGTTACAGGCAGCTACTCCTCACACTAAACTCATTAATTTCTCTCTCTAATTTGACGATGCTTTTACAGCTACTCCTCACTAAAAAAAACTCATTAATTTCTCTCTCTAATTTGACATGCAATTTTCTGTTATCGAAATTCTTCTTCACCAGTGCTTGAAAATTACGTACACTCATGCGAGTGGTGGAATTTCTCTTAACATACATAATATTTGTTATAGATTGCTGTCAAGTATATGCTAAAAAAAAAAGTATTTTCTTGATTTAACATTTTTCTAATAAGGATAGTGCAAAAGTTTTAGATTTTTTGAATGTGTAAATGAATAGAAAAAGACATTTAAAAAAAAAAAAAAATTTCACTTAAATTAAAGGTCACAGTGAAAATGAAATAGGTCACGACACACCTTCTACCTTGAAATGACCAAGTTTAATGATTCTAAGTCTACTAGTTTTCTAGTTATGGACCAGACAGGGTTTTTCCATATTTGGCTATAATTTTTTAATTATAGGTCAGAGCGACCTACTTCTTGTGCGCAACACACCTTCTACCCAATATGTATAAGCTGACAAAGTTTGATAACTCTAGACCTTATAGTATTAAAGTTATGAGCCGATATGAGAAAAGCTAACAGACAGACACAAACCCTATAACATATTATTATATAGTCTATCTATAGTCCCTATATAATCTATACAAACGCAAACAGTTCATAACACTACATATTCACTGGATTTTAGGCCGTATTCACCGGAGGGTCAATTCGCATGCAACAGCATTGTGACGTCACAATCAAAATATCAAACAACGTTGTAAACAATGGATGCAACGGCCGCAGCGAGCTACGTATCTGTGCAGGAAAACGATTATTCAAACCTTTTTCAGGATTATTTTTTAACATCTGAACGTCTTACACATAGACAAAGTCAGAAAGGAAAACACAGAGGTTACAAACAGTAATCTGGAGATTTTTTTTATTTTCAACAATGGAAGATCGCAAATGAAAATGGTGTCGTCATACAGCCTTGAATGTCTTATCTATACAAATCCCGACTATATAATAAAACAATTATGGACTCTTTTAGTGTTGAATATGGTTTGTTATTCACCAGAAAAATATTCATATTGACCGAGGCGAATTTCTACGTCCAAGGGGCATAACTCTAACAAAAAGGATGCGATCATATTCAAAACAGAACTTGGCCTAGATATTTATCTAATATACCTGTACGCTAAATTTCATTTCAATATGTGCAACCTCTGCAAAGAAAATGAACGGAAACTGCAAATAAGTGGAAATTTTCTAAGTCCAAGGGGCATCACTCTTATAAAAATGGTGCGATCGTACCCAAAAGAGAACTTTACCTACATATTCAGCTCATAAATCTGTATACTAAATTTCATTTTAATATGTGCCACCTCTGCAAAGAAAATGAACGGAAACTGCAAATAAGTGGAATTTTTCTAAGTCCAAGGGGCATAACTCTTACAAAAATGGTGCGATCATACCCAAAACAAAACTTGACCTGTATATTTACTTGATAAACCTGTATAACAAATTTCATTTCAGTATGTGCAACGGTTGTGAAGAAAATGAACGGAAACTAAATGGACCAACAGACCGACCGACGAACAACAGCAAAGCAATATGCCCTCCCTTCTTTGAAGGGGGGCATAAAAAGTTTTACCCCAATTTTCAAGCTTAGCCCTCTAGCCCTTCTGGTTCCAACACCTAAGGCATAAGCAGTTGAGAATGCCAACTATTAATGCAATGATTTATAGCACTAAGCATTACAATGCAATGCTTCAAGATTTATTTGTCTACTCTCTTATTAAGCAGGTCTTATCATTAGTTGCTTCAATTTAAGCATGTAAGTCTTAAGGCCAACTTTTTATCTATGTTAAGCATCCACAAACAAATTGTTTTAGTTAAATATTTGTGAAATTAAAGAAAAACACACATTAATGTTGAAATGTCACAAATGTAAAACTTTAAAACAGGTTGTTCTCTTTTCGGATCAGCATCTCTCTTTTCTAGAATGGTGGAGTGCAGTTATACCATTTTTTTTTCAACATGTCCATTAACTAAATAATAGTTTAAGTTAATCAGTTAATAACAATGACAGAAAATTTCTCAAATGACTGAGAAATTTTACAACTGGACATAAAATGTGCCTTTTCCCTGTGGGTTTGTGTGTCTATTCAGCTTAGAAAGATAGCTTTTCAAATTTGGGGTGGATGCTACACAAATACAAAATATTGGAATGGCCTAAATAAAACAAAATAATGATATTTTAATTCAATTATTTGACGAGTCGACAACATCAATTTCCATGCGTTTGTGGCAATAGTTCTTAAATCAAGAAGACAAGAACTAATCCATCAGTAATTCCCTTGGTCGCCATATTTGACGAACGAAAATTTTCAATATATGCCTACACCAAGTACTTACTTTAAATCTCTTTGATCAGGCTCGAGCAGCAAGTTGGAATTAATAACAATCTTATCTCTAAGGATCTTTGAAGACTTTCTTGAAATCTTTCCAAAAACGATGTCAGATTGCTGTCTATAAAGTGTAACCTGCAAGTCTCTGTCTACTGCAGCTGCAAACACTGGAAATGACAATGACGTCACATTCGGGCAAGGGTAAAAGTAGACTTCCCGACGCCCGACTATCTACAGCCCCGGAACGATATGCACATAGCGCGAGACGAACGTGAGATTACATAAATGTTAAATATGATAAAAAAAATTGATCAATATAAATTGGAAAGATATTTTTTTCTCAAAAAAAGGGATTTAATATAAATATATATAATGCCCAAATGATTTTAAAGCCATTTTATCTGTCATTTGTATGTGTATATATGTACATGTGTTTTTGCATGTTAATTTATGCTGTAAATGTTTTCTTGTGATATTTTAACTGTGATAGTCGGTCTAAGAGCTCTACAGAGCTCATGTTTCTTGTTATGTATTGTATACAATGCCGACTTTAAATAAAATTTACTTACTTACTTACTTACTTAGGGGTTTGTAATCATATATATAGCATGTTAATGAAGACAATAGTCAATTGTCACATTTGTTACTTCAGTATATAAACAGTGTCACCCCTTGGGTAAAATATTTTTTTTTGATATGGTCAAAAACAGTAAAGGGAAAGACACCTCCCGTCGTTTTTGTGTTAATCCTGTTATTTTAAAATCACACTTTAAATTGTATTTTATAAAATTACTTTGGTATAAATAATTTATTTCTTTCACATATTTTTATAACGTATTTCATTTAAAAAGTATATATATCTTTCCCAATTTATCTTTTTAAGTTATTGTTAACAGTACCGTCATTTAAACGCATTCACTAAAATTCACAATGTTTAATGGAAAAGATTGTTTTAATAAAAAAAAACTCTCCACTAGGCCCTAAATATCCAATTGTCAAAGGTTATCAGAGAAAAACTGCATATTATGACCATTTAATTTATGAAATTCACATTCATATCGCTTACAGATAATTATATATAAGGTATTTAAAATTATTTTTACATAATTATTATGTTATAAAGCTTGACACTAAAATGTATCATTTCTTCATCTTTTTTTATTATTTTTTTTTTTATTATTATTTGTCCGTAATCTTTTCATCTCCAAACATTCGGATGGCCTCAGCTGACTACATCTTATAAAATTCACAATTTTTCGGTACTTTCCGACAAGCGGATAAACCACGAGGTTGTTTAGCCTGGTTCCCTGTCCCTATTTTGCTTCGTACACTCCGCGTCACTGTAAGGATGAGCCAGTGGACCAGGTTAGAGGTTGTTTCACCGACCTCCGACGGAAGGACCCGAATGGTTTTCCCGCCGCACGTGCAGCGTCAGATTAATTCCCGCGCTCAGATCAGTGAAACGAATGATGGCCAGAAATATGCTAAGAACAAAAGTCTACATTTTGACAGAAAAGATTAGGCGGAAAAACGACCGGGGCTCTTTCCTAATCACCATGGCCTATGTAGACCTTGAGAAATCCGTCAAACAAATTACATTACCACACCTGAAGCACTTTGAAAACAGCCTTCAAAAAGGAAAATATTATTTGTGCTCTAATGTAGCAGCCATCGGCGACACTGTCCGCCTTACAGAATCCTCAAAGGTAAGAACATTCTACACTTTATTCCAAGATAGAAATGCCTATAATTTTACTTATCATTTATGCTACCAACAGTTCAGGGCCCCAATATCTTGGTCTTTTATTTCTTGTGAAAGACAGAAAGAGGGATGAGAAGGGAAGAGGTATTTATTACTCTTACAGTTTACAGTTGACATACACTAAAGTCGCCAATATTACAGGTCACGTCTAGATGTTTCATTGCAAAGTTCTTCAATCCTGCTTTTATCACAAGGGGATACAGTTTAAGCTTTATTGTCCCCTAAAAATTTTGTTTTTAAAAAGTTATGAAATTAACATTAACAATAGTTGAGAAGATGAATATGATAAATCGTTAAAGAATATGAAATAAAGGAGAGGCTTTCTGGAAATATGACGTCATTTGGTACGTTTCTAAGTTTAATGCAGAAAAGCACGTTTCTTTCCTAATTTTCCTTTTAAAAATTGTCTCCCACTGTCGCCCACTTTCATTTTTAGCTCACCTGAGCTGAAAGCTCGGGTGAGCTTTTCTGATCAACCGTTGTCCGTCTGTCTGTAAACTTTTTACACTTTCAACTTCTTCTCTAGAACCACTGGGCCAATTTTAATCAAACTTGGTGCAAATCATCCTTGGGTGAAGGGAAATTTAAATGGTTTAAACCAAGGGCCAAGACCCCTTCCAACGGGAGATAATCAAGAAAATACAAAAATACGGTGGGGTCATTAAAAAATCTTCTCCTCAAGAACCACTGGGCCAGAAAAGCTGAAACTTGTGTGGAAGCATCCTTAGGTAGTGTAGATATTAAATTGTTAAAATTATGACCCCCGGGGGTAGGGCGGGGCTTTAATAGGGAATCCAAGTTTTACATAGAAATATATAGAACAAATCTTTAAAAATCTTCTTAGAAAACACTGGGCCAGGGAAGCTGAAACTGATATGGAAGCATCCTTGGGTAGTGTAGATATTAATTTGTTAAAATCATGAACCCCGGGGGTAGGGCAGGGCCACAATAGGGAATCCAAGTTTTACATAGAAATATATATAGAACAAAAAGATCTGCATCAGCTAAGTTACTCAGGTGAGCGATGTGGCCCATTGGCCTCTTGCTGGATATATAAAATGCTATAAACAGGTCCAGGAAAATCACTATATTTAGCTATATAGGTATATCTACCTATATAGCTTTATTTACCTATAAAATATTGCTATATTTAGCTATTTTGGAATAAGTTTCAGTTTTATGAAAAGCAGACAAAAAGTCGCACAATGAGTCAGTATTAGTTTTCAACATATATATCAAAATCTTTCTGAAAGAAAATTCCACTGAAAATTAATGTCTTGTGCAATTTTTAGGTCACCTGAGTAACTCGGATGACCTATTGCCATCTGTTTTCGTCCATCGTTGTGTGTTAACATTTGAACATTTTCAGCTTCTTCTCTGATACCACTGAACCATTTTCTACCAAATTTGGTATGCAGCATCTATGGATGAAGGGGAACAAATATTGTGAATTTCATGGTCCCCGTCCCCCTGGGGCCTGAGGGGTGGGGCCAAACCTACTAAAATTATTGCAATCTTAAAAAATCTTCTTCTTTACTCCCTGACATCAAGCAGACAAACTGTTAGCATGAATGTAATAAGCAATGAGTCCTCTACCTAAATTGTGAAATTTATGGCCCCAGGGTCAGAGGTTCTAGTGCTAGGGCGGGACTATATATATTATATAGTGAAAATGCATTATTTCTTTGAAAATCATCTTCTCTGCTTCTGGGTATTAGATAGTTATGATGAGCAAGAATGCCTCTTCCACATTTGTTAATTTTATGGCCCCAGGGTTAAGGGTTCTAGTGTTAGGGCGGGGCTCTATAGATTATATATAATGAAAATGCATTTATTCTTTGAAAATCTTCTTGTCTGCTTCTTGGTTTTAAATAAACTAAGTACATAGTTATGATGAAAAAGAGTGCCTCTTCCAGATTTGTGAATTTTATGGCACCAGGTTCAGGGGTTCTAGTGTTGGGGTGGGGCTCTATAGATTATATGTAATGAAAATGCATTTATTCTTTGAAAATCTTCTCAGCTTCTGGGTTTTAAATAAACTAACTAGGTACATAGTTATAATGAGCAAGAGTGCCTCTTCCAGATTTGTGAATTTAATGGCCCCTGGGTCAGGGATTCTAGTGTTAGGGCGGCGCTATATAGATTATATAGTGAAAATGCATTTATTCTTTTAAAATCTTCCTCTCTGTTTCTGAGTATTAAATAAACTAAAATAATTAAGCATAAAGTTATGATGAGCAAGAGTGCCTTTTCCAAAATTGTAAATTTATAGCCCTAGGGTCAGGAGTTCCAGTGTTAGGGCGCGGCTCTATAGATTATATAGTGAAAATGCATTTTTTCTTTAAAAATCTTCTTCTCTGCTTCTGGGTTTGAAATAAACTAACTGAATACATAGTTATGATGAGCAAGAGTGCCTCATCCAGATTTGTTAATTTTATGGCCCCAGGGTTAAGGGTTCTAGTGTTAGGGCGGGGCTCTATAGATTATATATAATGAAAATGCATTTATTCTTTGAAAATCTTCTTGTCTGCTTCTTGGTTTTAAATAAACTAAGTACATAGTTATGATGAAAAAGAGTGCCTCTTCCAGATTTTTGAATTTTATGGCACCAGGTTCAGGGGTTCTAGTGTTGGGGTGGGGCTCTATAGATTATATATAATGAAAATGCATTTATTCTTTGAAAATCTTCTTCTCTGTTTCTGAGTATTAAATAAAATAATTGAGCACATGGTTATGATGAGCAAGAGTGCCTTTTCCAAAATTGTAAATTTTATAGTCCCAGGGTCAGGGGGTGTTAGGACGGCGCTCTATAGATTATATAGTGAAAATGCATTTATTCTTTGAAAATCTTCTTCTCTGCTTCTGGGTTTTAAATAAATTAGCTAAGTACATGGTTATAATGAGAAAGAGTGCCTCTTCCAGATTTGTGAATTTTTATGGCCCCGGTGTCAGGGGTTCTGGTGTTAGGGCGAGGCTCTATAAATTATATAGTGAAAATGCATTTATTCTTTGAAAATCCTTTCTTTGCTTCTGGGTTTTAAATAAATTAGCTAAGAACATAGTTAAAATGAGAAAGAGTGTTTCTTCAAGATTTGTGAATTTTATGGCCCCAGGGTCAGGGGTTCTGGTGTTAGGGTGAGGCTCTATAAATTATATAGTCAAAATGCATTTATTCTCTGAAAATCTTTTTCTCTGCTTCTGAGTATTAAATAAACTAAATAAGTACACTGTAATGATGAAAAAGAGTGCCTCTTCCAGATTTGTGAATTTTATGGCCCTAGGGTCAAGGGTTCTAGTGTAAAGGCGGGCTCTATTGATTATATAGTGAAAATGCATTTATTCTTTGAAAATCTTCTCTGCTTCTGAGTATTAAATAAACTAATTAAGCACATTGTTATGATAAGCAAAAGTTCCTTTTCAAAAATTGTGACTTTTATTGCCCAAGAATCAGGGGTTCAGGTGTTAAGGCTCTTTTGATTATTCAGTAAAAAAAACATTAATTCTTAGAAAATATTTTCCTTTGCTTTTGGGTTTATGCTAATGATCCAAGTATATATATATTAATGATGAAGAAAGGTGCATCTAGCAAAATGATTATTTTTTATGCCCCCCCCCCCTCCTGGGTCAAGGGTTGGTAGGTGGGAGTTACATGGTCTGAAAACAAATTAATGCTTTGAAATGCCCAAATTTTGCATGTACACTAAAGTTAATGCAAGCTATATATTATATAAAAAGAAAGAGTTTCACTATTGTAGTTTTCACACAATAAAACTATAGTCACCCCCCTTTAAATACTTGATAACAACCCTAATCTTCTTTATTTGTGTCACTACAAGACATTTTATTATAACCCCCACAAACAAAGTTTGGGGGGTATATAGGAATCACCTTGTCCGTCTGTCTGTGCAATGGTGTCCGGTCCATATTTTTCTTAGAGGGACATTACAATCTACTACTCCACACTAAGATTGCTCATGACCCAAGGGTGTGTCATGACCTTGACCCAAGGTCATTTGGGCAAGTTCAAGGTCACTGGAAGAAAAATTTCATAATTCGTGTCTGGTACATATCTTTCTTATGGATAAACTTGGTAAATTCTCATTTCACACAAAGATTGCCCATGAAACCCTATTTTGTGTCATGACCTTGACCCAAGATCATTTGGGGAAGTTCAAGGTCACTGGAAGAAAAATTTCATAATTCGTGTCTGATCCATATCTTTCTTATGGATAAACATGGTAGGTTCTCATTTCACACAAAGATTGCCCATGACCCAATTGTGTGTCATGACCTTGACCCAAGGTCATTTGGGGAAGTTCAAGATCACTGTTAGAAAAATTTCATAATTTGTGTTTGATACATATCTATTATGGAAAATATTACTTCTAAAAAATCCAGCGGGGGGTATTTTGTCCAGTTTGGACAGTTCTTGTTGTATCATAATAGATTTAGACAAGTAGATCGAAATATCTGAGTACCTTAACAAAGCACCTGCTCTACTAAATATTGCTGAAATCTGAACAAAATTGACATGTTTTAAGGTTTTTGAAACATCTCCATTCGAAATGAACCAATCTGTCATTGACACATACCTCAACCCACCACAAGAAACAGTCGAGGAAATTCTCCAATCACCACAAAAAAGAATGGTTTCAGTCAGAGGTATTTTACGAAAAGTAAGCATAAATTTATTTCTTTCTTTTATATAAGGCTCAAGTGAACTTTTCTGATCACATTTGTCCGTTGTCTGTCCGTCTGTATACTTTTTAGCTCATCTGAGCTGAAGGCTCAAGTGAGCTATTCTGATCACATTTTGTCTGGCGTCCTTCTGTCCGTCTGTCTGTAAACTTTTAACATTTTAGACTTCTTCTCAAGAACCGCAGGGCCAATTTCAACCAAACTTGCCACAAAGCATCCTTGGGTAAAAGGGATTCAAGTTTGTTCAAATGAAGGGCCACACCCTTTTCCAAGGGGAGATAATTATGAATTAGAGAAAAATTAATGGCATTTTTAAAAAATCTTCTTCCCAAAAACCACTGAGCCAGGAAAGATGAAACTCACATGGAATCATCCTCAGGTAGTGTAGATTCAAGTTTGTTCAAATCATGACCCCCGGGGCTAGGGTGGGGCCAAAATGGCCGACTCAAGTTTTACATAGGAATATATAGGAAAAATCTTTAAAAATCTTCTTTTCAAGAACCACTGGGCCAGGAAAGATGAAACTTATGTGGAATCATCTTCAGGTAGTGTAAATTCAAGTTTGTTCAAATCATGACCCCTGGGCTAGGGTGGGGCCAAAATGGCCGACCCAAGTTTTACATAGGAATATATAGGAAAAATCTTTAAAAATCTTCTTCTCAAGAACCGCTGGGCCAGGAAAAATGAAACTCATGTGGAATCATCCTCAGGTAGTGTTGATTCAAGTTTGTTCAAACCATGACCCCCGGGGCTAGGGTTGGGCAAAAATAGCCGACCAAAGTTTATATAGGGATTTATAGGGAAACCTTTAAAATCATCTTTACAAGTACTTCAAACCTATGATTGGTGATATTAATATGGAATCATCTTCAGGTAGTGTAGATTCAAGTTTGTTCAAATCATGAACCCCTGGGGGGTTAAAATTCAATCCCCCCCCCCCCCCAGTAAACTTTCATTTCTGATCTGATATGTGCTTTTTCGTAGCCAATGTGCTCAGGTGAGCACTGTGGTCCCTTGGCCTCTTGTCACATTTACTTCTCCTCAAGAACCACTGGGCCAATTTTGACCAAACTTGGTACAAAGCATCCTTGGGTGAAGGGCAATTTAAATTGTTAAAATGAAGGGACATATCCCCTCGCAAGGGGAGAAAATCAAGGAAAGACAAAAATAGGGTTGGGTCATTAAAAAATCATCTTCTCAAGAAACACTGGCCCAGAAAAGCTGAAACTTATGTGGAAGCATCCTGGTATATTATAGATTCTAAATTATTCACATCATGACCCCCATGGGAAGGGCGGGCCCACAATGGGGAATCAGTTTTATATAGAAATATATAGGAAAAATCTTTGAAAATCTTCTTCTCTAGAACCACTGGGCCAGAAAAGCTGAAACTTATGTGGAAGCATCCTGGTATAGTTTACATTCCTAATTGTTCACATCATGACCCCCGGGGGAAGGGCAGGGCCACAATTGGGTATCAAAATTTTACATGGAAATATATTGGAAAAATCTTTAAAAATCTTCTTCTCAAGAACTGCTGGGCCAGGAAAGCTGAAACTTATGTGGAAGCATCCTGGTATAATGTTGATTCTAAATTGTTGAAATAATGACCCCCAGGGGAAGGGCGGGGCCACAATGGGGAATCAAAGTTTTATATTGAAATATAAAGGAAAAATCTTTGAAAATCTTCTTCTCAAGAACCACTGGGCCAGAAAAAGTGAAACTTATGTGGAAGCATTCTGGGGTAGTGTAAATTCTAAATTGTAGGAATCATGACCCCTGGGGGAAGGGCGGGGCCATTGTAGGGAATCAAAGTTTTACGTAGAAATATATAAGAAAGATCTTTGAAAATCTTCTTCTCAGGAACCACTGGGCAAAAAAAGCTCAAACATATGTGCCCATGGAAGGATCATTGGGTAGTATAAATTTCAAAATGTCTAAATTATGATCAGTGGGGTAGGGTGGGGATGCATTATGTATAACAAGAGGGAAATCCGGTAAAGAACAGAATGGTCAAAGCTTCTCAGGTGAGCGATGTGGCCCATGGGCCTCTTGTTATAGATACTTGTGAACATTCTTTTTAGAAAACATGATCATAATGATTATAATGTACAGTAATAATGTACAAAGATCACGTACATTTTATATTTTTACAATTAAATTGTATAACATATTTCTAATATACAAAGTATTTGTTCAAGTCATCACAGATCATAGAATCGCCCAATAGTAAGAGGAAGGAGATAACAATAGAGTCGATGGAAGGTACTTCCCGAGTAGTTTGTAAATTGTGGGGAGACCATGCCGACAAGTGTCTGCCGCAGAATGATGAAGTCGTGACTGTCTGCAACGTAGAAGTTGCAACATTTAAAGATATAATTTCACTAAATTCAACCCTGCTTACTTCCATAAAGGTATGAACTGAAATTCTTGTTCTCTTAACATTTACATTTTTAGGTCACCTGAGTAAAGTTACATCACCTGAGTAAACTCAGGTGACCTATTCCTATCCATTTTCATCCGTCAGCGTACAGTAATGTTTGAACATTTTGAGCTTCTTTTCTGAAGCCAGTAAACCAATTTCAACCAAATTTGGCATAAAGCATGCATGTAAAACAAAAATTGTTAATTTCATGATCCCTGTCGCCTGCAGGATGGAACCAAAACCACTCAAATTAGTGCAATCTTGAACAAGATGTGTTTGGAAAACACTATTCACCCATCTTCAACACAATTTAAAAAAAAAAAAACACTTTTAGCATATGGGCCATAGTCAAGGGCACAAGATCACAGATCTTGATGTCATTCAAAAGAACTTGATTAGTAAAATATGCATACCAAATATGAAGTCTCTATCTCTCATTGTTCAAAAGTTATGCTGAAGATTCAAAACAGATATTTTTAGCATATAGGACACTGTCAAGGTCACAAGGTCATTGACCGTAGTGTTGTATGAAACGACTTAATCAGTGGCATATGCATACCAAATTTAAAGTCTCTATCTTTTATGGTTCATAAGAAAAGGTGAAAGTTAAATTCACAGAAAAAAAATATTTTTAGTATATCGGTCAAGGTCACAGAGTCATTGCTCTTGATGTCATTTGAAAGAGCTTAATTAATAATTTTTTTCTTCCTTTATTTTAATAACATACCAGTTGAGCTAAAGACTTAACACACACTTCTGGTTTATTCATTCTTTTGAAACCTTGAAAAGTGGCCACATGTGTAGCCAATTTCTTGTTCTCAAACAAGTCATCTCTTAAATCAGGTTTGACTGTAGTGAAAATGCATGCTCCTGTCTATTTTACAAATAGAAAAAATAATGTAAAACTTGCAGATCTATAAGAAAAAAAATACATTCAAGTGAGTCTTTTCAAGCAAAGGATTAAGTTGCATGAACTTTCCACTTTAATGCTTTAATTAAAAATCATTACAACAATTTTTCTATCATAGGAATCCGAAGAGAACACCATAGTCGAAGGAAAAGTCGAAGGGGTAGATTTTAGAGAGTAAGTCATTAAATTTTATTCTTCTTCACTGACTACAGCTGAAAGATTACTTGACATTTTGTGATCACATATCCTATTATTTTTAGGTCACCTGAGCCGAAGGCTCAAGTGAGGTTTTCTGATCACATTTTGTCCAGTGTCCATCTGTCTGTCTGTCCGTCTGTAAACTTTTCACATTTTCGACTTTTTCTCAAGAATCACTAGGCCAATTTCAACCAAAATTGCCACAAAGTATCATTGGGTGAAGGAAATTCAAGTTTGATCAAATGAAGATAATTGGCAATTAAGGTCCCAAAATGGCCGACCAAAGTTTCATATAGGAAATATAGGAAAAGTTTTTTTAAAATCTTGTCTAGAATAGCATAGTCATTATTCATCATATTTACATAGAAGCATCCTCAGCTGGTGTAGATTCAAGTTTGTTCAAATCACCGCTTAATGTTTTTTCAAATCAAAGCTTAATGACCAACATTCAGTAAAAACATTCCACAAATTTTGCTTCTTCTAATATTTTGTCATCAGTTTAACTCTGGTTTTGAATAAACATGCGTATATGTAGGCTCTTTATGAAAGCACATTAGCTTTAATTTCTCATAACTATCTTTGAAAGTTGAAATTGCGATTATTTGTCTTTCTGAGTAACAATCATTATATTAGTCACAGGATCCCAAATTACCTCGATCACATGGTCATCATATTACTTACCAATGCAGCATGAGACTGATATTATGCTAAAGTCATAGGTGCAGCTTACTAATTTTAAATTGTTTAAATGAAATGCATATTTTTGAAATCAAAATGATGTTTTTGTCGATTTCCATAAGATACTCTGCTCTCATTTCTGTTACATATTTCTATAATAACACTAACCTGGTTCCCCTAACCAGTTTACAAATGCATTTTACAAGAACTAATTAATAGTTGTACATACAACTAGTTTGTTTTGCTTAATTCTTTGCAAGCGTGTCTTGTTTTGGCATTGGGTTACGAATAGAAATTAATGCAGCTTTGTGGATATTGGACACCTGAGCTTACAATAAGGCCACAATAACTTAATTTGTTATAGTTTAGGGTCCTCCACACACCCACAGCTTATGTTCGCATATTATTGAGCATTACTTTTAACAAACATATCAACCTTTAAAAACTGTCCAGGGATTAAGATATAATTTATACTGATTTTTTAAAATAATTATTTCACAAGTTTCAAGAAATTTTTCCCGAGGCGTTTTCATACCTAGCAAAAAAAATTTGCCTTACCCTTTCGTATATTTTTAAGCTCACAGAATAACCATAAAAACTCAATTTTATCGATCAACACATTTTTTACAGAAATTTATTTTATTTATAAGAAGTACATAAAACTCTTTTTCTTTGAAATACATCACGAGAAAAATCAACAAGGACTCCTTTTGAAGAGAAGAAACATTAATGAATTAGATTACATAAAAAAATTGAATTAAAATTAAATGCACTGATGTAGAAAAAACATTTTCAAAATCTCTGGTATCAAAGTTCCTTTTTGGAGTTATCTTTCCTGTTGCTCGGGACTCAAAAACTTTGGCAAGTCTCCGCTTACGTCACCATACTATTATAATTTAGTAATATACTAGCCACTGAACTGGACAAAAATAAAAGAGAAAAACTATAAACGCACACTATTTTATCAATATTTATAAACACACAATGAGATAATGTATTATTGAAACGTACAAATTAGTGTGCCGAAATTTCAACATGTTCAACTACACAGTATCAAAAACAGACTCGGTTGATTAGCCTGAAAGTGTAAATAACCTATACTTTTCTCGTCATACACATCGGTACCTGTTGTCTAGGAATTATTATCTTTATAATAATAATCCAAGACGTCTATTGTTCTTTTATTGAAAAAAAAAAATACCGCAATCCTTTTCATCGGTCACTCCGTGATCATCATGCCATGTGTTTATTGTTTACAAACAGTGGAAGGACAATTTGTTCATGTATTTTCTCAATAAAATCGGAAGTAAAAGTATTTTTTCTCTATATACGTCACAGGTCACATGGTGTGGAGGACCCTTAAATAAAGAAATTTGAAAAAAAAATTCTTAAACTAGCCATAGTGACTCAAAGATCATCTTTTTTTTCATCTAGGGACTTCAGCTATCTCATCATTGACACAAAAACTTATAAAGTAAAAACAACGGAACTGGAAAGAATATTTCCCAGAGGGTTCGAACAAGACATACATATCAAAGGAAGCGCTCATGGATTTACCATTGTTGAACTGTAAAGTTATTTATATAACTATATATATAATCATGATCTCAAAAACTCTCATTAAAATAATTATATAATCATGATCTCAAAATCTCTCATTAAAATAATTGCAAACATTATCAATAATGCAAAATTTCAACTTTTTACTTTTAATATATCTAGTATTACAGATTGTACCTCTTCAACAAATATAATTATTTGGAAAAAAATTTCTTCGGTATTATCAATGAGGTCAAAAATTTATATATTACAACATTGCAAATACTATCAATATAAAGTATATCAAAACATTTTTACTATTAATCCATTTTTAATGAAACTCTTGAAGAAATAGATCTTCACAATATTTTTAAAGTACTTTCATGCAACTTTAATTTTCATTCATAATTCTTCATTTTTCCAGAGAGAAGATCAACCCAGCAAAGAAACCTAAGAGAGATTAAACTTTTCAAGAAAAGTACTTCTTTTGAACAATTTGAACAACGCCCATTTCATTTCAGCTATAATTCAAAGCTCAAATAAGCTTTTCTAATCATAATTTGGTCGTCTGTCTAGCTGTCCGTCTGTCTGTAAACATTTCATATTTTTAACTTCTTTTCAAGAACCACTGGACCAATTTCAATAAAACTAAACACAAAGCATCCTTGACCACAGAAGACTCAACTACTATCTTCATATGAAAGGCCATGTATGACCTCTTATAAAGGGAAATAATGAAGACATAATTAAAATTTTGTGGCATGTTTGTAAATCTCCTCATCAAGAACCACAGAGTTGGGAAAATATAAAACTAATCTGGAAACATCTTCAAGTATTGCACATTACAAAATTTGATTTTTAAATTATGACCCCCAGATATAGCCTGAGGCCACCAGATATGATCAAAGTTTAACATACGAATATATAAGAAAAAACTTTAAAAAATCTTCTTAAAGACAACAAATCCATGATCTTTGACATCTTATATGTATGCATCCTCAGGTAGTCATTTAATTAGTTCAAATCATTAAATGTCCCCTCATGAAAGGGTGCTTTTCAAATGAAAATCATATTTTTAGTACAAATATTTATAGGAAAAAATTGAAAATCTCTCAAGAATAACAAAGCCAAAATTGCTCATATTTACAAAAAAAAAAAAAAGTTGTGTTATTATATTTGTATAAATCATGACCCCAAGGGTTAAGGTAATTAAACAGTGGACAATCAAATTTAATAAACGAATATATATTAAACAAATATTTCCTTCTGAAACAGCTTCAAAAACATGCCATTGGAAATATACATATCAAAACATACACAACGCCATCCTTAAAGAAATGTTTGTTTAGAATTGCCACCTGGGGGGTTTCAGACCCATGAGGGAGGGAGGTTTTTTTTTTTTTTTTAATTGAAGCTAAATGATTAAAAAATCTTGGTGAACAGTAAAGATTTTCAATAATTTTCTTTCTTTTATTTATTGATATGTTTTGTTTTGTTTTGAAAAATTATATATAGCACTACACAGAATGGTACTCATATATCAATCTAATTCAGATGTTAGATCTGAACATTTATTAGAATTCACCTTAAACGTCAAACTTCTATTTTATTTAAAAAATCATTTTTTAAACAATTTTATCAGTGTATTTCATAGCATTGCTCTTGTTTAACATTACATTTCAAAGACTAGCTTGTGAGTTGTCATACTGTCAGATATTTTTCATTTCTTATCCTTGCAATTTTCTAACTGGGATCTGAACAATCTTTTTTATTTCAACATAAGGGACTTAGCCTCTCAAGTTCAATGTTGAATCTATTGAGATATTCAATACCAAACAAAGTATAATTTTATTTTGGCCCAAGTATTGTAGATTCAAATTTGTTTACAACATTACCAAATGATGGAGAATGGGGAAACAATGCTGAGTCAAGGCTTTACATATAACAATAAAGGATTTTTTTTATAAGTTTTCTCAACAACATAATCATGATTAGTGATCTTTTTATGAAAACATCCACACATAATTCTGTCAACATGTTTTCAAATTTTAATTCCTAGGCTTCAAACTTTTATTTAGAAAACCCATAGCACATCAACACATTAACATCTATATTAAACCATTGTCATTTAGTGTAGATTCAAGTTAATTCATATAACCCCCCACCCCCTTAAGTTGTATGTTTGGACGTTTTAGCCACACTGGATTTCATTTTGCTTTCTTCTTGGCCGTGACATGTATTACTAACAGGTGAGCAATGTCACTCATGGTCGCACCACTTCTTTATTGCTGACCTTTTTCTTGCAGAAGTGCACATGTTTTTATTGATTTTTATTATCAAGTAACCTTGGTAAACAGGTTTCAAGTTTTCAAGTTTTTATGGCAAATTTGAAAGCATTTTTTTTATACCTCACTTTTTATAAATATGATTAGAGGTCATATTGTTTGGTCTATGCATTCGAAACAATTTAACAGAAGAAATTGATCTATTATTTTGAAACCCTATTTCCCAATGTGTAGGGGTAAAATATTTCAAGTGCACAGATATTGTTTGACCAATTGACTTCTCTAGGTCATAAACATGCTTTTCTTAAATTTGTCACAAGTTCAGTTTTACAAGCAAAAACACTTTATTTACTCATTATTAGTGCAACAAAAATTAATCAATAGCTTCTAAGGCTACCACCATATCATTTCAAAAACAACCGCAATGATCTTTTTCTTTTTTTTCTTTTATAGTTTTCCAGGTTTAAAAAAAACATTGAGTTATTCCCCACCTCATTAATTCTATCTTAAATGATAGATAATTTATTAGAAAACGATATATATCTTCAAAATTCACAATATTTTATGAATAAATATTCAAAGAAATATTTGGAATAACATAATTTCAAGTTGAATACATATTACAACTTAAAAGAAAACCTACCTGATGCATTTAATTTTTGGGCCTGAGAAACTATTAATTTTTTTTTAGCCTTAATGAAACCTGTATGCAACATTTATGTCCTATGGACTTGTATTTCTTTTAAACTGTGTCAAATACAACACACATCCATCTTTGAGATAAGATGTTCCAAAAAATACTGGTAACCACATTGTATAATGTGCTCATCGATACTGTTTAACATTTTATTCTTATTATTTCACAAATGCAACCTATTTTTGCAACATTATTAATGTGTGTGAAAAAATCATTACTTGCCTATATCCTGACCACATTATGAAACTTTTTTTTTTATTATATTGTGAACATTTTTGGTAAAGTCCTTTCACAGGATTTTTGAACGAATGTTATCAGTTCTTATTTTGTTGTTTTTACACATAATTATTGTTCCAGCTATTCCAGAAAAAATGTAGTTGGTTGTGGGGGAGGGGGCTAGAAGGCACTTAATACATTTTTTTAGGTAGTAAAGTATACAAATTACTTTCATTTGAAATTTACAGACAGCATACAATGTTCCATCTCAAACACATCACATCGTACAATTTTTGTAGTGAGTATCATTAACTTTGACGAGCGCTATCTATTCAACCTGTAGCAGAAAAAACGCAATTTTTTTATTTTGAATTTAGATGAATGGTGCTATATCAAAAGAATTTCCAATTCAATGTAATGCTGATTGGGGGGAAAAACAATTAACAATACAAGTGGTTAGGTAAAATTAAAAGTGCCTTTTAAACTTTCCATATTACATTTTTTACCTGGAATAGCTCAATGTCAAATTGAAATGACATTACTGAAATAAAAGAATGCAAAATTTGTATATCTCTTCTCATTTGATGTTCTGACTGAAACTTTAGAAAATGCACAATTCAAGTACTAACAGGCGAACTAGTTTACATACATTTTACTCTTAATATTTCATTTAAATTGTGCATTTATTTTTAGTTACATTTCATTTTAGATTTTGGGCATCACTTTTCCCATAACTACATTTTTAGTTTACCACAGCAGAAAGCTCAAGTGAGCTTTTATCGATTGTCTGTTGCTGTTAATGTAGACTTTTTAGTTTCATCTTCTTGATATTGCAACAATTTCTTGAAAAATGAATGACATATACATATTTTAAAATTCTTCTAAAGAACCTCTGTACCATCAAAGATGACTTTGATATTCTCTGGTAGTATAGATTAAAATTTCTTACAAGCTTTACCCCTGAGAGAAGGCAGGCCAAAATGGAAGATAAAGGTTTCACATGTGCAATACCTTCTCAAGCACAGCAAAACAAGAATTAATCATATTTATATGCAAGCATCCTCGATTGTATACTTTCAGTTATCTTTGCAAAATTGACTTCCAATCGCGTGAATTTCTGTCCTCAACATGAGAAGCTATCATGGCTAGATCTCGTAAACGGAAAGAGATTAACAAACAAAACCTGTAAAATTGTTAGATCTTGATGAGTACGCAGAACCACCGGGGATAAGATTGTCCGCCGTCACTTCCAGTCGTCACAGGAAGTGATCAAACAAAGTGAAAATACAACTTGTCTCTTCTGAAACTTTTTTTGCATCACATTATAGCATCTTATTTGTAGTTTCAAGATGTATCAGTACCACCGGTAAAAAAAACCGTAAACTTCCGGATATAAGAGAAAAACTACGTAATTTGAGTACATTTCTTTCCCATAAATACTTTTTTAGATAAAATATTTTTGAATATGTTATTCAGACTGCAAATGTCTACAGAAACTTCAAATATATTTTTTAAAATATTCACTTCCGGTTGCCTGATTTCCTGTCCTCAAAATGAGAAGTTATCATAGCTACATCTCGTAAACGGTAAGAAATTAAGACACCAAACTTATAGGATTGGTAGATCTTGATGAGTAGGCAAATCCATTTTGGTTAACATTTTCCGCCGTCACTTCCGGTTGTCACACGAAGTGATGGAATAAATCAAATATTGAAACATTTCTTTATAGAATCTTCTTAGTCAAACATTTAAAAAAATAAAACTGATTTTTGTAAATGTTATTGAGACTTTAATAGTTTAAACTTACATCAATAATCTTGGTAAGTTACACCTCCTGTCGTTCGTTTTCCCGAAATCAATTAAAAAAATCATGTGCCTTTTTTAACATATATAAAAGTTCATTCATGCAGATCAATAGAGGAGAACGGAAGACCTTCTTTGTTGCTTTAGCAACAAGAGTTTCTAGTTATTATTATTATTTTTTTTTTTTCCCCTTTTCTTTTCGGGGCGATTTCTCAGAGATGGCTGGACGGATTTTCTTGAAATTTTCAGGGATGATAGAGAATAAAAATACCCCCAGGTGTTTTTTTCATTTTTTCAAAATTCACTTCCGGTCGTCAGATATGTCCGATTTCCGTTTTTTTCAAAAATATTTTGTCCCAGTCATATCTCAGAAACGGTAAGAGATTAAGACACCAAACTTATATGAGTAATAGATCTTGAGGAGTAGGCAAAACCATTTGGGATAAGAGCGTCAGCCGTCACTTCCGGTCGTCACAGGAAGTGATAATAGAAATCGAAAATTTCAACTTTTCTTTTTTGAATCTTTTTTTGCATCACGTCATTGCATTTCATTTGTAGTTTCGAAATATGTTGGTCTCACCGGAAATAAAAACGACAACTTCCGGCTATAAGCGAAAAACTGCATAATTTGAGTATTTTACTTTCCCATAAATATTTTTATAGGTAATGTATTTGAACTGATTTTTGAATATGTTATCAAGACTGCAAATGTCTAGAGTAACGTCAAATATCTTGGTAAAATTCACTTCCGGTCGCGCGTTTAAATGTCCCCAAATTGAAAACTTGTCCCAGTGAGATCTCAGAAACTCTAAGAGATTTAGAAACCAAACTTATAGGAGTTTTAAATCTTGAGAAGTACACAAAACTATTTGGGTTAAGAGCGTCAGTCGTCACTTCCGATCGTAACAGGAAGTGATCAAAGAAATCAAAAATTTCAACTTTTCCCTTTTGGAATAAG